AGGGGAAGTTTTCTGTAATTACTTTTTCAAATAGGTTTTCAATTTCTTGCTCTCTTTCTTCCCCTTCTGGCACCCCAATAATATGAATGTTGGTCCGCTTGAAGTTGTCCCAGAGGCTCCTTATAATATCTTCCTATTTCTGGACTCTTTTTTTCTTTTTGCTCTTCTGGTTGGGTGTTTTTTGTTTCCTCATGTTGGAACATGATTTGATTCTCAGCGTCCTCTACTCTACTGTTGGTTCCCTGTAAATTACTCTTCATTTCAGCTCGTGTAACCTTCATTTCAAATTGGTCCTTTATTATGTCATCGATGTTCTCATTTGTTTACATAATACTCTTACTAATATGCTTGAGCATTCTTATAACCATAATTCTGAGCTCTGTATCTAGTAGCTTGCTTGGTTCTATTTCATTTAGTTCCTTTTCTGGAGATTTTTTTCTGTTCTTTCCTTTGTGACATGTTTCTTTACCTCCACATTTTGACTGCTTCCAGGTGTTTGTTTCTGTGTATCAGGTAGAGTTGCTATGTGTCCTGGAATTTGTAGAGCGACTTTGTGTAGTAGGTGTCCTGTAGTGTCCAGTGGCTCAGCCTCCCCAGTCATCTGAGCTGGGACTTCTAGGTGCTCCCCTGTGTGGGCTGTGTGCACTGTCCTTTTGTAGTGGAGCGTTGGTTGCTGTTGGTGTCACTGGGAGGAATTGACCCCCAGGCCAATCAGCTGTGAGGACCAGCTGCAAGTGTAGCCAAAGAGCTGCAGTGCTGGAGACACCCCTGTGGAGCAGGATTTACTTCAGTGGAGCTTTGGTGTTCACCAAATGCGCCTCTTGAGTGTGTCACTTGTGGATGTGGTTGGGTTGTAATCCAGCGTCATCAAGTTTCACCACCAGGTGCATTAACTCTGGGGCCTCCCGGGAGGTGCAAAGTCAGCCTCTGCCAGTGCCTTGCCCAGGGTCACTCAGCATGAGGTACACAGCAAACCGTACTTGGCTACTGCTTGTGCTGGGCTTGGAAGTGTCCAGGAGAGGCCAAGCTGTGAACCAGTGCAGCTGCCGCTAGTGCCAGGCCTGGGGCCACTTATCAAGCCGTATGGGGCACACTGCTGCTTGTTTGAGAGGTTTTAAGAAAGTCCTAAACATGAGGCTAGAGAGGCCACTTGCATCAAAAAACTACTGGAAATCGAGTGGATGATCTTGCAAGTAGGGAGGGGCGGGGTCTCTGGGAATCACCAGGGTGGGGCCACAGGTGGGAGTCAGGTGCTGGAGATTCAAATATGGCGCTTGCCTGCCGAATGTGTGGGGAGAGGACTCACCAAAGGAGCAGTGGCCTCTTCTAGCGCTTCTGTCTGGGAGAAAACTGCCCCTCCAGCTCTTGCCCCAATTTCAGGCCGGTTAATTCCTCCCCAAGTGTCCCAGGTTCCTTTCAAGCTGCTGCCTGATGCTGGAGCTCAGAGGGAGTGTGTCTGAGTGAG